TTTACTGTTACTGCATTTTCTGCATCACAGTAAAGCTTTATCTGCTGCTTGTCAGAAGGTCCCTCACACTGATAAACTGGTATTTTGTATTCTGAGTCCCTAAAAAATAACTGACATGTTTAATCTCAAATGCAGACTTTGTTAATGTTGAACACTGAAAGATCTTCCTGTATGCCGTGGGTCTTGCTTATTGCTATATTCTTCAAGCTTTATGTTGGGGGTCACTCTGTTAAAATCAGGAATGGCAAATTTGGGTGTTTAGAGACACAGTATGTTGGCACAGGATAAAAATCTGGGTCCTGCAGGGAATATTACAGCTTTCTAGAAGATACATTGTCTCGCCATACCTTCTTCCATTTCTTCTTTTCTTCCACCACTGAACAGAACAACTGTTCTTCATAAATGAAAGCTTTGCTCGTCCTCTCCAAACTTTATGCTGGTAAAGGTCAAGTTAAACTGCTTTGAAACTCTGAGTATCAATACAACTCTTTGTGGTGCAGATAAAAAGAAATTTTTTTCCCAGAATCAGGTGGTTTTGAAAGGTGTAACATAAAAATGTCTGTCCACCAGACAGATATAAATGATCCAGCCTAAATACTGAGGCTTCAGGCATAAAGGTTATTGCATATAGAAAAGAGAGAGGTGGTGAAGATCTGAAAAAACATAGGTGAGGTAGGAAAGCCCATCCTTACTCAGAACGTCTAGCCTGACCCCAAAAACTAGTCAAGAGATCAATTCAAGAAGAATACTTGAATTTGCAAACAGGTTCTGTGTTTTACTTTCTGCTGTTTGATTCATTCTGGGCACAAAAGTTACCACTTGGCTTCTTCACCACTTCTCCTCCCCCTGATTAGAGCAATCAATGGGATGCTGAGTTTTGATTAGCTGCTTTTAGCAGAAGGATGACAAGCACCATGGTGTTCACCTCCCCTCTGTATGTACCTGTACTAGCAAATTCAGTCTTCTACAGTCTCCTACAGGAGATAAGCACTGTAGAAGCTGCGGTTTCTGACAGGAAATGGGACCAGCATCCTGCTTCTCATGTCCTGACACCCACACTGGATTGGTGTCAGCAGTGGCTGCTCACAGGTGGCACTCCACAGAGACACACCGAGTCAGTTCCACCCAGCTTAGCAGATGCTCAGACTGACCACATCTGTTACATTCAGGTCATGTTGTCAAACTTCCAATTACTTGGAGGGAAACATCATTACAGCAGAGTGCACTGTGTACTTCAGAGAGATGAAGATCAACTAGAAGCAACAAATGGAATATAACTAAGCAAAGGTATGTTTTGTACATTTAAGCCAAGATAGTATGGAAGTGCTTTTTAAAGGAAGCTCTTTCATTCCACCCATATGAATTTGTTACCTGTATATCAATCCTGTTCACAACGGAGAGAAAATGGAACTGGCTTTCAGTTGTTTATTTTCTCTAACACAGTCACCTGCAACTCCTTTTTTTGATAAGAGTTCTCACAAACCCAAACATACTAACAGGTACGTCCTTATTCAAACAAAACTCAGCATACTGGACTACTTATAGAAAAAAACCCTCCAAACCTGCCACACGTAGAGTATACTCTTCTATCCCGGGAAAAGTCTTCTCTGAACAGAGTTTTTTATTCTTTGTTGTCAATATTATATAGTTGAGGATGATGAGAATATTCAAAAATGTTTTACTGGAGTTTACAGGCACGCTACAGAAGGCTGTAATGAAATGGCTGCTGGACACGTTCATACAAAATTAATGAGTGACACTTTTAAGATCACAGTTTTCATTGTTTTTACTGTTGTTAAACAGCATTTGATAAACTCGGCAGAAATCCTTCCTGTTATCATACCAGGAACTTGCGCACCTCCTGTAACAGAGGAAACAATGTTCAACAGATGCTGTCAAACCTTTTGAAACCTGCATCCTTTTTTTGGCACTAGTTTCCAGGAAAATTTCACAAACAGCCTGTCCCTACTGGTCTGACTACTGGCTTGTATTCTTTCCCAAATGGATTCTTTGAAAGAAAGCAAAGTGCTCATGGACAAGACATGCTCTAGAAGGATAGGGACAACTCTAAAACTTTACAAGAACACTGCTATCAAGATACAACAAGAAACTTCTGCCCGAAAACTAGAGGACGGATGGGAAACTTTTTTGTCCAGGGGATGCCTACACTCTACAGTTTAATTCTTTGTGTTACTATTGAATAACATTAAGGTGTCATTGGAAGTATTGTCATTCTTTGAAAACCACAGAAACAGGAAAATATTTTTGAATGAACAATTTGAGTTAGTGTGTTACCAAGAGGAATATTATTAGAAATAATTATTCTGTCCTTCTGGCCTCAAAATATTTGCCTTTGTTGATTTTTACAACAGGATGCATGTGACACCTCAGCCACTTCTCGACGGAGTACCAGAATACCACTGAACCTAACTACTAAGACCAGGAATGAAAAAGAACAAAGTAAAGCTAGGCAGTAAGTGAAAGACTAGCATTATTCAAATTATTACTTACTCTCAGTAAAAAGCTCTCAACCCTGCTCATTCCAGTGTTGCGTGGGAATAATTGTGAAATGGTAGGGCTGTTACTAGGAGGCTGAAAGACATTTCCAGCAACACCAAGCCCCAGAGCAATAGCTAAGTATTAGCTAATACATGAGAAAGCCCTGGTAGTGGCATTTACTGAATGAAAAAACACATCGAAAGGAGGAAATGGCAGAGGAAAATAACCTTTGCTTTCTCCAAGCCTTCTGTGGAAAGTCCCCACCTATGAGCTGTATTCATGCAGAAAAGCCAGTGCTCATACCCTCTGTTTACTTTAACCTCACAGGGACTGATTAACTTTTCCTGAGCCTTATTTCACGCCTTTGCCAGGTATCACCCAACCATTTCCTAAGACATGAATCCATCCACAAGCAAACGGAAAGCAGCGAGGCTGCAGGAAGTAGGCCAGGGTTTTCACAGGCATGTTGTTCTGCCGCTGGTTCCAGCCCCGGGAGAGGCCAGTGTGCGCGCAGGCCCGTGCGCATGCACGTGCAGCTGCCCTGTGGGGGTACACTGCAGCATTGACATCCCCGCGCGGGCACGCGGCCAGCGTGGCAGCACAGCATCAACCGACTCCTTTTTCTAATTAACATTTGTCAAACTTGGAGACAAGCCCAGGATGCAAAATTTGGATGTAAAATTCAAAGAGCACAGAAGCTGGAAACGTTCACATACAGGCTCTTCATTTATGCTTAGGTTTTTTTTATAGGTCATGCACAGATGACTTACTTGCTCTTACTGTAACTTACAATTAGCAATACAGTGATTTTTTTGTATGTCTTAGTGCACAGTAGAACTCCAAAATAAAGCAGCAAAGCTTACTAGTAGGTGGACATAAAGGTTTCCCCTTTTAAGAAAAAATTTTCTCTGAGCTTCTTCTTTTGAGTGGGTGAAGAGGGGAAGGCCTTTAACACCATCAGCAGACAGGAGTGAGAATATTTTGACCAGATCTGGAAGTTGTTTATAACAGTCATTTCTTAAACTCATGTGAACTCATTCAGCTTTCTGCACAGCACCCAGCAATGCAAGTTCAAATGATTAATGTGTCTCAGTGCTGAAACAATAAATTCTCAGCGTATGATTGAAAGCCAGTTTTAAACTCTTGCGATTTCAGGGTTCAGTCACCAACTCTATAGAAGGTTCTCTGTGAGAGAAATTGATTAAAAGGCAAAAAACCAGCTTTTTGCACTTTTGATCAGCCCAGCAATTCATGCTATCTGCTGACATTAGAGGAGATTGGGCAGTGGGGTATTATAGTTATTAAAGTAAAAAGGTAATGCATATAATCACTCTCAGATATCCTAAATGGCCTATAAACAGCACCTCTAATACAGTACCTAGCACTAAGGCTAGTGCCAGTTCCCAGCAGGGCACTTATATCCTAGCCTAGACAAAAGACAGGGAAATAAGACATTGGGCCACGTTCAGAGGTATTTCAGAGCTGAATAAACCCTAAGAAGTAATATACTACAAGTGTTCCTTTCCTGGAGCTTTGAAGAGTACATGCAAGAGAGTGAGCTGGCTACTGATGAGCCTTCCTCAACAACATGTTTCCAAGAGCCAAGTGTCAGCTCATACCAGGGCCACATACAAGACTGAACTATTGCAGTCCTCATGGCAAGGACAAAACCCATGGCTTCTCTAACCAAAGTGAACAAATGAGGCTCCTTCTTTCTCTCTCTGCACAATTTCTGGGCCTGTCTACAGCCAGCTTCTACTAGGTTTCTAGGTAAAAACTGACAGTGACACTTTGCCTCCATGCTGGTGTTCCAGAGAAGTGAAAATGTTTGAGACCTTGGAAGAGGACTGTTGTATACAGAAGTTAATTCTTGTGAATAGTCCTTCTTTCATAAATTCTCTCTAGAAGATAACCTCTTGTATAGAACAGCTTTATGTGCATCCTACTAACTTAGGGATATCTTTGTTTTGTTGGTCTTATGTTCTGACACCGCATTAGATAATGAGCAGTGCAGGAAGTAATGTGAACTAAGTGATTTAATTTTAATGTGGCTTCTACTTCTCGCACTGATTGTGCAGAGGAATAATTACACAGATCATTGCTTCTCTAGAAGGGCCTTTCAGGCTGCTTGTGACAGGCCTCACTGCTCTCCTCTGCTTTTAAAGAAGATGGTGTGGCCACTTGCCGGAGCAGTAAGGCTGCTTTCAAAGTAGCCTTTTACTGTCTCAAGGGGCAAATGCCACTCTTTGCTGGATGACAATTAAAGGCCGTGTATCACTCCTGAGATAACAACAGAAGCGTTCTACTTAAATGAAGGCAGTTTCAGACAGTATGGTAAAAATAATGTAGATCAATTCCAGATAATTAGCACACTATTTTAGAATTACTTTGGCACAAAGGAGGCTTTTCTTCCGGAGATTTTTGTCACATTAGAGGGTTTTTGGCTATGCTTGTCTTAAGAGATTCACTTCTAATAGAATAAGCAGCTCAGTTCATAAGGAAAGGTTTTTGATTAATCATGTTTGTTATATTACCATGAAGGAGGAGTTTTTTTGAGGAAAATATTTACATAAACAGCATTTATACAACACAACATTGCAATCCAAAAGCGTCAGTGAGCTGCTTTGCAGGCAATGCAAAAGGGAGTTGCTTTATCTTAAGCTGAAGTAAAGCCACTGTTAAAGTAAATATGCAGAAGCAACAGCACCTAACAAAGGGAACATGAATAATAACTTTTCTAATTTCAGCTGAATGTGGGAGGATATAGGTAGGCAGCAAAAGGAGCTGGAAACCAATTTCCAATGTGATTCATATTTTCAGCAGTGACTTGCACAGGTAAATTTTAATAGTCGACACTTACAGATAGCTTTTCACTTATTAAAATCCAATAGGTTTAGGGCTTTTTCTTTTTGGCAAATGGAATACTGAAGCACAACAAACTTACACTGGCTCATAACACTGACTGTGTCAAGCATCTTGACTTTCAGACACAGAACTGATCCACTGATTCTGCAAAATACTGCTCACGTTTAAATGAGAGAAATTATTTGTCAGGTGAATGGAACAGCCTGCAGAAGTTAGGTGAGGATTTTAATGCCACTGGCATAGTACTAATATCGTTCACGGCTCATGAGCAACCAGAACCAAAAGGATGTACTAGTACTTTAATAAGGTTATTTCTTTGCTCCATACTCCTTCATTACCACTAACATCTAGAATCACTGCCTACCCACACATTTACTAAGACAAAGCAAGCTCCCTGATGCCATTACATTCCCAACTCCTTCCTCCTACATTTTTCTTCTCATTCTGTATTACTAAACTAGATTTGGCAACATTTTCCCTTCACAGAAATCAAAAGTGGGTGTTCTGACACAAGAACAGAAAATAAGAATAATCCAAATTATGTCCACAGAGCTCTTCTAAATACTATAAATGAAAGCAGCATTTGACCCAATGCTAATATAAAGTGATTCTGAAACAGTGATGGCACATGGAAAAAAATTAGAAAGCCAAGAGCAATTTCCAAACAATACTTTTCACCTTCTTTGGTCTTATATAGATTTTTATATTGTTGCTGCTATTAGAGGAGTCTTGCAGCTACCAGTTTTGACCCAGCCTGTACCCAGAAAGGGTAATGCTGTATTATTTCAGTATCATCAATTAAATACTTTATCTAAATGTATGTTAGTGGCAATGACAGACATTTTACCTTCAAGTCTTTGCAAGCAATTTCCTTTCAGCACTGCAGAGTATCCAGATTACAGGCTGTCAGCATCATTCTATAGACTTTCACACTATGTAACATTCTCCAAAGAAATAGACATCTTCACTAACAAGAATTTATTAGTATATTTGGAAGAGATATGCAGTAAATCTTTACAGCACAAAACTAAACATGGCTCCCTCTTGAGTCCAAAGTGTGCACGTTACTTCGTTTCAAAGTGCATCTTTTAACAAGCACCTAGTTCAAAAGGAACAGGAAAAAAGAACATCATCTTACCCCAACAAAAACAAAACCTCTGAACTCACAAAAAGGCAAATGGTAGAAAACTGCATTTTGGGCAAACCAAGTCAGGTCCAACCAATTTTAATAGGCACCTACTGCAGCTTCTGGAATCACTGTTGCATGCATATCTCTAGCCATATTGGATTTCTCTTTCAGCTTTGACTGGAGCAATGTGTGTTCCATCACACCAATCTGTATGTCCATCTGAATGGTTTCTTGCCTCAATTTTGTTAAGGCCTGTTTAATCTTCACTAGAGGAGCTGTCCAAAAAAAGATAAACAGTGCAACTCTGTCAGCCACTTAACACAAAAGCATTGTTTGCTGTACTTCACTCCTTAAAATTGAAGACTTGAATGAACAAAAGGGTGTTCTACTCTAAAGACACGATTGTACTGATACATCATTTTTAATATGCAAAACACTTTAAAGACAGAAATAGGCAATGACAATTTTGCTGTCTTCTTGACATCTAAGAGCTTCATAAAGATGTGCATCAACATTAAGACAGGTTTTTCAATGATGTGTTTTGCTCAGCTGAAAGCCTTATCCCCAAACCTGACTTGAGGTTTGGTAGAGAACTGAAGACATCTTCAGCAGGGTGTGAAAATATTACCTGTGAAAAGCTATTAAAATATTTTGTGCCCTACATTTTGTTTCTAATCCCTTCCCACTAATATGATGCTGCTGCATCATTTTGCTCCTTGTAATTGCTCTTATTTCAATGAAGTACATATCATGAAACTGTCACCAAGAAAAAGGGTGCGCTGTCTGAAGCAAAAATGTACTTACCACCATCAGTCATGCTGCTTCCTTTCTCTTCCGTTTCCTGCTTTACTTTCTCTAATGCTTCTGTAATCTTAAAATAGATTTTCTTTCTTAATTAAACCAGATTAATATCAATTTTTTAAAAAGTCTCTGCTGAATAACTGCTTTTATTTAAAAAATTAACTAATCCACCTTACTTGTTATATAAAGAGGAATGATTTTTCAAACATTCAGAAATTTTTAATTTAACTAAATAAATGTTGTAAAAAATTACAGAAAAAGGGTAACAATTTGACCAAACACCATGGTGTTACTAAAAATCTGTGCATCCTCAATAAAAACAACAATATAATTGTTTTAGTGTGACACTGGATGGAAGAAGAAAGGAACCAATATCTCTACAGATCAAGATTCATCAATTAATCATGCCCACTGCCCTTCTGGAAGCATCAGAACTTCAGCATGTTACACTGGAAACCTGAGAAACAGCACTGCAGCAAAAGAAGGTGCAGCAGTCCAGCCTGCTGGCACTGGCACAGGTATGGAAAATCCATATATGAAGAACAAAAGTCTAGAAACCTGTCTAGCAACCAATTTGCCTTTGTAGATAATGAAAAAAGGAAATATATGATTCTAAAGTATAGCCAAGGTAATAATTCAATATTCTTGTACAATGTGAAAACAGCCCTCCATTAAGGCTTCAACAAGCCTTTTCAGCAACAGAAAGGAATCATTGTTGCATTGTTACTGCATACCTGCAGTGGTAATGGTATTGCCAGCTGGGCTGAGGTCTGATTGCATCTGAAAACAGATCAGTACTAACGTCCCATGTGTCTGGTTTACCTCAGACACGCGCCACTGCACATATGTAGTTTGAAGGATGCCAGCTAGTAACATATTCACCAATATTTATCAGTCAATCAGGTCACAAAGCACACACTGTAAATCTGGAGTTATCACAAAACACTTTTTCAAACTTACTTCCTTGAGAGTGAAAGAGAAAGCAGCTCGGATTCTGCATAATTCATACACTCAGAAATCTCAGCTAGAAAACTCCTATTAAACCGCTGTATTACCTATTGCAGCTGCACTTGGTGATCACTGTAGGTCCCTTCCAACTCAAATATTCTAATGTGTTCTAAAACATCTCAAACTTGTACAATTTCTAACACATTCTTATTGTGCGACCTATTTTATGCAACTATTCCTGAGACATTATATTGTTTAATAAATAATGTTAATTTCTAAAACCCAAATAGAGCCATTTAAAAAATTTCTGAATTGGATTAAGAGTTGAAGTATTTGGAAATCAGGTTGTAATTCTAAATGAAATGCCTTGAAATACTCAACATGGGGAGGCAGTTAGGAGACAGGAAATGTTTATTTAAATTTGTCAGAGCACCAATATAAAGGAAAATGAAAGTCCACAACAGAAAACCAGATTTAGGTAATAAGATCATTTGATGTATTGAAAAAATTACTCTTTAGTAAATTTTAGTAATTTTAAGTGCCTGGAAGATAAAAACTTCAAATTGTTAATTTTAACTGAAAGTAAGAATTAAGCTTTTCTTATTCCAAAGAATTTATGGGCATGACTTATTAATCCCCCATAATTCTAGGACATACGTTATAAAATATAGAACATTTACCTTCATTTACAAACTGAACTCACATTTCATGAGTCAAAAAATCAATGACAGCCTGGATTTAAAATTTAGGGATTGGAACTAGATCACCTCCCTCAAACAAAGAATAATCTTTAACAAGAGAACAAATCAGAAAGAACTGGTTTCATTAAACTGCAACCACTAAATGCCAATTCTCTGAAGACTGTTTTAAAATAAGATGTGTTTTACCTCAGAAAGCACTCTAATCCTTTCAGTTACTCCTCCACTTCCCTCCTGGTACTTCTCTTTAGCCTGGAAAGAAACATGTCTTTGCTGTAATGACAGAGTTGAAGAGATGTATGCAGATAGCTCAGAGAAAACTTCAAGACTTGCTCTCGTATGTTTTAATTCCAGAAGCTCTCCCACAAAGCCCCAGTGAGGTTTACAAATGAGGACAGTCTTGAAACATCAGCCCCTGCAATGACTATCATTCACTATCATGTGAAGCAGTAAACAGTCCAAATACACACTTGATAAGAACTATGCTTTCTAATCATTCACATTAGGAAAAAAAGATGAAGAAAATCTGCCATAATACAGAAAAGACTGAATATTGGAATCCAGAATAATACTTCATCAACAGTAAATCTTCAAGATACCTTAACAACGAGGCAAACAGAAGGTGCAGAGGTCAAATTTTGTTAGCTTTATTGTCAGCATGGCCACAACCAGGAGGGCTTGCCAAAAGGCAGATTATGACGCCTGCTAAATAGGGGATCAAAAACCTTCTCAGATAGCACTCTGTTTGCATAAAAAACTAAATGAAGGAAAGAAGTAATCAGAGTGCTTTGTGCACGTTGGCACCAGTACTCAAGCTAAGGGATGAATGCTGGACTGAGACTGTAGTTTTTCGACTCCTGACAGACGTGTGAACTTCACAGGGAAAGCAGAACTAGCAATTTACTAGCTGCTCAAGACTTACAACAGCTATACATAATACTAAGGCAAAACCATGTATTTTCCCCTGCAGAACAGTTGAATAAAAATTGCAAGTTTAGCTTAGGAAGAATATAATCTGACAGACAATCAACATTTCCCCTGCTTTATATCTGACAGCAGAATTCATAGATAGCTCACCCCTTGTCATCTTTGCCTCTACCCTCATTTAACAGCAAGTTAATACTGGAGAAGGCAACAACAAAAGATCAGCAGTACCTCACTCAGCAAGGCTTGTGCTGAACGGTATTCTTGAACCAAGTGCTCCAACTGATTGTTGATGTACTTTTCCCTGCTATTGATCTTTTCCAGTGTTCTGCTGATTTCATTATGGAGTTTGTCAAGGTAACCCTAGAAAATTACATTCTGTGGGTTGACAGTATACAGACAGTATGCAAAGAGTATCAAAATGGTGTGGTAGTTAAGAAAGGCTATGGAAGCCTACAGAGAGAAAAATAGTACAGAAATACTGTGTTTAGCCAACAAAAAGTGATTCCAAATGTGTTCTGGTTTTCCCACCTCCAAAACACATAGTTCAGTCTTTACTGCTTCATCACTCTCCTCTCCTCAATTAATTACAAATGTCAGTGTCAGTAAGTTACTGTAGCAACAGTATTTGAGAGTATTTTGGATTTTTAACAGCACATTCAGATTGTATTATTCTACTTTGTCCTCTGTAGTCAGGATGTACTTAGGGTAATGCATTCACTACTGGATCCTGATAGCCCTGTTAATCCTCACACATACAACTCTTTCCCACAAGGTATTTTGCCACTAGCTCTTGCCTTTAATGATCATTGTCATATCTTTCCCTTTTTAATTTTACAGCAATAGCACAAATAAAATGAAGAAAAAAAAAGATCAATTTAGTTCTTAATGCATCTCAAATAAAAGAGAAAATAAAAATGCTGTCAGATTAGTAAAATATTCTGTACATACAAGACATACCCTAGTTTCTTTCAAAGAAGAATCAATTCCATCCTTATGCTGATGCATTTGATCTACGTGAATCCTCCAATCCTAAAAAGACATCAAAATTAAAACACAGGTAAGTACAACTTCTATCTTTCTCTGGTTACTAAAAAACAGCGGGTATAAAAGGCAGAGTCAGTTCTCTTTTATACTATTGCCATGTATCATCCTGCCACTGCCATGTTCATAGCCAGGGGCACTGGCTCAATGTGACACAATTTATAAATCTCCTAAATGTCACATGTGACACTCAGATCCATAAACAAACACTGACATCTTCACTGATACCATAGTAGCCATGCTTTTTAGAGTCTGATCTTCAGGGAACTATTTCTGCTAGAAACCACTCTGGGCACAAATACTAAAAACATTGATTGTAGCTGCACTAGTTCAGCTTATTCTTAGACAAAATGAGTGCTTTTGATGCCCAACACCTACCAGTTCTGGACTATCTGTTCTTTCCTTTCTATTTTAGCCCTACTGTTACCAGGAGAAGAATGGAAAGAAAGTGGCAGAAATACCAAAACTTGGTTTTGATAATGGGATACAATTAGAGGGGGGAGAATTATTTCCAGCTTCAAGATCATAGGAAACATACATGGACTCAGGTGGGGGTCTAAGAAAAGGTGCTGAGAATTGGCACTGAACACCAGGCAATGAGCCACTAGAGAGAATGTGCTTAGAAAATGTACAGAGAAACCTGTTTTTCAGGTTTGCAGGAGACTCATGATCTCTTGTTGGTCTAGTGACAATTGTTCGTAATTTGCCAAACGTTGGAGTTTAAATAAAAACATCAGGCACACAACCCATCCCCATTTCTGTCCAGGTTTTTACAGTAAGTTCCAGTTTCTAGTGCCATTGATTAAACCATTAATACTTTCCTGGTACTATGTTTACATGCACAGCTTGGGAAACAGAATATGATGTTTTCTGGCAGAATGGAAAAAACACTTCTCTCCAATTATTTCTGAAAGAAGCTAGAAGAATAATCCTCTTTTCATGTTCATTTTGACATACTCCTTAATGCCAAGAGATGGTGCATTAAGCTGGAAGCTAGTAAACCTCAGATCCTACACTGGCTTTAATTTTTCATGTATGTCTTATTAAGTTTTAATTCCTCACTGTGAGACTCAAGCATCATGTTCTCTGCAACAGATGGGCTTGCTAAGGATCACAGCAGAGTAGTTCGAGCCAGGCAATTCTTCACACAGAAAAATACAGTATGGTGCAAGACAGGCAAGGAGCTCAGCAGACAGTTGAAGGTTTCCCCTATTTTTGGCAAGATAATTATCTTTCATTGTATTCATGTATATGTATTGTATTGCTATATCAGTGCTGCAGATTTCTCTAACACCCCAACTGCTCGGGTCACTGCAAACGAACAATTTCAATACTGCACTGATCTGTGTGTGCTACACAAGCTCCTAGAAAGAATGCTTATGGCAATGCCAGGAGCAGGTCCTAGGTTTGGACTTGCCAAAGATGGATGCCTACTTCTAAGCTGCTCATTCTATACTCCTTGAAATAGACTATGGAGAGAAATACACAATTCTAAGACACAATGAATTTCACCCTGAGAGAGTTGCCAAGACATGATGAGCAAAAGCAGTTGAAAAAATGCTCAGTTCTTTTCACAAAGCATAAGGAGAACTTAGGATGACTAGACAGGGGTACAGACCTATTGGATTGTCATGTAAAGTTCACCAAGAGGAATTCCACACAACCAGCCTGGTTGAAAAATGGAGCAACTGAAAGGTAAGATCATCAGCTGTCCTCCAGGAAGGTATTTTAATAGTTAAACTGAGCATATAATTATTTTAGAAGTGTGAATACACTGGAAATGTCAGAGGACTGAAAAAAAAATCCCCACTGAATAAATATGTAGAAATAAGGTGCCTTCTAAGCAGCAGAAAAAAAATATAATATTGAAAAAACACCTTGCTGAAAATTATTGCTTCTAGGATCAAAGTAACTGACAAAGGTTCAGACAAGGTAGCACTGGAGAGCCCATTAATCACAGGTCTTTTCATGACAAAAGACAACTGCAAACAGAAAGTAAACAGCATCGACTGAAATCTCATTTTAATCACCACATGTACACAGGCAAATCCATTCTTCCATACCTTATTGTCAGTCCTGACTATGACTTTCAGCTGTGGAAGCACACGCTCCACTTCCAGATTCCACTCTGCTGCATCTGTTGTGGACTGTAAAATCTCTTCTTGCTTTGTAGTGTCACTCATGTTCTGTGTAAAAATCACAAACTTTATACACGAAGTATCATTGTTATGCACAGTGAGAACTGTTAGAAACCACGATAATGGCTTGCAGTGTTAATATCAGAAAAAGATTTATATCCAGAATGATCTAGACTACAGATGAAATAGATTTCTTTAATGGCTTTCTTTGAATTCATAAAGATTTGGAATTAAAATAAGTACATCTTCTCATCATACATAAAACTGAACACAATTAAAAGTATATATTAAGAAATTATAATACACTTCAGAAATGGTGTATATATATGTGGGATTAAAATGTATTCATGAAACTAATACCATGTTTCTCTAGAAGTCTCTGCAAAAAAATTCTTGCAAATGTTCCCAGCAGCTCTTCAGTTTAGAAATTGGCTGCACATTGTTCTTTAAAAATAATACCTAATATCTAATATCTTATTCATTTCAGATGGGGTGTTTTTTCAAGACTACACAAGGATTTTTAGACTTAAACCAAACAGACACAAATTGCTGCTACAGATATAAAAATCTTGCAAGAGAGGACTGATAACCACTTACTGATCTGTATGTTTGTGCCTTTAAAATATTCAGGTCAATATAATCTTCTTCATTGTCTGATTCTTCTTCCTTAAGAGAAGTTTCAAAGTAAGACTTCAGTAAGTATTTCACAATCTTTCTCCATAGTTTTATTTTGCAGGACCACAAACCAAGGAGTATTAACTTCCATATTTCTGAACAAAATAAGACATGGGGAATTTATGATATGGAGCTAATGAGGAGACATAATACCTTGGACAAGCTGAAAGACCAAAACCACCACATTTCCTTCAGAGCGCCACAGTATTACAAAAATAAACCAACCAAACAACAAAACCCACACCCTAAACCCAAGGCCTCTGACATCAAATGGCCCATTATCAATAACTGTATGATAATTGTATTTTATTATGCATTTCTTAAAGCTCTACCTTAAAAATAAAACCCCATCAAACCAAAACCAGACCTCAACAGTTTTCATTATGTTGTTTGCACTACATATTTGGAGTTACAGAATGATGCCACATCTTAAGTATGCAAAATAACACAACAGAAATTGAGGCAATTGATTTTTTCTTGCCCATGAGACCACACTCTCTGCTCACATATTCTATAAATCTGTTATAGCCTCAAAATTCCCGTCTTCCATCACTATGATCAGCTGAGAGCCCATCACCTGTAAGTAACGCTGCTTTTTCTGAGCATTAACCTTCATTTCTCTGTACTGTATTTCATCTGCCATTTTATCACCCATATACTTCACCCTTATACACTTTGTCCTCCTCCTGTCTTTTCCACCAAAGTGAAATTTTATCATCCACCTCCTACACAAACCACAAAAGCTGCAATAACACAGGTCTTATGGTAAAATCCTTCAAGACTCAGTGAAAACCTTGGAGTTTATTACTCTTTCCTCTACTTTACCCAGTTTTTATCTAACAGGGACCTTCTGGCATGTTTGGCCCCAAGTCCCCTGAATACTTGCAAGAAATTAAGACTAGACTGAGACTATATTTTGATAAATGGACAATACATATTTGGGCAGCATTTAAAAGAACATAGCACCAGAACAAGAAGACTGGTTATCAGAACTGAGAAACCAAACTGCAGATTTCCTTAAACACACAGCCTCACTGCCTACTGCTGGCCACCTAACACAGGCTATCCCATTCCCCAAGAATTACAGAACTAGCCTTGTCTCGGTCAGCCTCATCATTTTTATTCAGAAGAATCAAAACCAAAGAACAGTCACTTATCATTAGCATTTAATTGCTGGAAATACTGCTAAATTCAATTATGAATACAACTAATATCAATAAACTGGCAGCAACAATGGACTGGACAAAAAAAGTTACATTGGCATGTAATTAATCTCACTAGAGCCACTAGGGGCTCTAAAAAGTGAGTATCCTTTTGGTATAAACTGCCTGGTAATGTGACACCTAGTAAAGGAATAACACCTCACTGTTTTTTATCAACACACATACATTCCAAAGACCTAACAGAACACATTAGTTGTGAAAATCATGGCCTAGGACAATACCTGAGAGCAAACCCAGAGGTTCTCTGAAGCATTTCAACTGTGCTTTAGTTAACTGTTTCGTCCCCACTTCCCAATTTAAGCAGCTTAGACCTTAACAAGATACAGAAAAGAGCAGACAGCTGACTGTTTTCCTATTTTAACCCTTTAGTTTAACATCAAGAGTAGATTTATCAGTAGAAAATAAACAATTCTAAATCTCCTTTTTTTTAATGCATAGTTAGATTCCCCTGCACTTAAGAACATATGCTCTGTCTTGAAGAGTTAATCTTATCTGAAAAGCAACAAAAAACTCTGCAGAGAATCTGACAATGCAGGAATGGAGCTGCAGGAAAAAAACCTGAACAGCTAACTGAAATGACTTTTTAAACAAAGCCAAACAAAATGAACAGTAAATAAAAATTTCCTCATAGCTGACCAATACTAATATAATTAAAATCAGTCAAATAAACATACTGCAACATCCTCTTCCAATTTACTAAGTGTTAATTCTGCATCATCTTCTGTTATTTCTTCTTCTTCTGGCTCTTCTGTTGGGTATGCTGGCCTGAAATTAATTCAAATAACAGCAGAGCTTTAAAACACAATAAATTGTAAATACCTCTGCAAACAAAACATTTCATGAGAAAAATGGATCATGTGGAACATACCTAGACAGTGATTAGCGTTTCACAACTTAAATAAATATACACTCAGCCTTGAAATTCTTATTCATCTTGAACTGTCTTAAAAGTAAAGGCAGTACAGCACATTCACACTACAAAGTCATCTAGGAAGTAAATTTTGGGTGTTTTCTCCATTGGCATAAGCTGCTAAAATTAAAGTGCAAGTCACCACAGGCTTATTTTCAGCCTGTGGTGACTTGTGTACTAAAGAGCAGTAACAGTAAAATATTTCCAAGGTAAAAATTACTTTGCTTTATCCATTTCAAAACTCACCAAAGGAAAAGAATGAAATAAAGAACACTTTTAAAGACATTTTCATATACTTGAGATTATCTGCCATCTAATTTGTCCTAAGATTTCCTTCAGGTTAAATAAAATTACTCTAGTCTACTTGTAACATCATGATACTGTGCATAACTCCAGAAATTTATCATTGATTGATCGAACCTAAAAGGACTAAATGTTTCAACTCAAATAGAACAAGCTCAGATTAATAAGGAGTTATGTATAGGGAAATAAAAAAGAAATAAAAAAAAATCATCGGTTAAACCTTAATTAGCTAAGTCTATAATGTTCCAAATTCAGCTTGCTGGTAACAGGCCAGTTGTGTGAAATTGCATTAGGACTTAATTGGTCACCCTGCTTCAAGCCCAGTTGAATTTTCCATCTCATGAAACGTCAAGTAAAACGTTTTTAGTCGTTCCTATGTTTTATTTTACCACTACAACTTACATCTGTTTCCTGGAAAGCAATGCCTAAGGGAGGATGCTTAGACTGTAGTGTACCTTTTCCAGGTAAACCCAGTGTGTTTCAAGGCTTCTTCAGCTAAACAATCAAGAACATAGCACACTTGCTCTCCGCAGCCAGTCTTTAATTTTGAGGGAGGAAAATCCACAGACCTTCCCTAAAATAAAGAGACAGCCTGTTCAATAATGGCCTAGCAACCCAAATTTCCCTGTAGGGAGATAAGTTTTTGTACACTAAAACCAAAGTGTCCCTTGTGTATGAAGATTTCATTAATGACAATTTACACTCTTCTCCTAGGCAGCTCCAATGAGGCAATAGAAGGAAAAGCAGACAAAGCCAAAGAACAGAAGCAGTGTAGAAACCTTTAAGCATGTGATAAGAGGAGAAGAGGCAGCAGGGAGCAGAAGAGGCAGCAGCCACAAGCGATCTGTTGGATGGTCAAGCACACAAGTGACAAGGCAAGGTAAGAGCAGCTACAGAGAAACTCAAGTATTGAAACTTAACTACCACCTTTTCAATGGTGCCCTGTTAGCTCCAGACTCTATTTATAAAATATTTTAATTTATTGCTGTCATGCAGAATAAACACAGTCGTTTGTTATGGTTTAACTCCTTTAGAGAACAGTGTCCTTAACATCATTCACAGCTGCACCAGAGTATAATCTTCCATAAGATCATATTTCTTGTCAGTTGATATATACTCCTGACCTTTGGGTTTGTTTTTCCCTTTTTTAAAAATTTATTTATTCAAAATTATTATTATTAAAATTCCATAATATATATTATATATGGTATATTATATGTAATAGTATAATATACATTATATATTATTATATAATTATTATAATTATTTGAAATTATTATGATTATTATTTATTTTTTAAAAAAACATCCCAGTAGTTCCTGGCAGTTTGTACAGCCTTTTACTCCTTAACAAAGCGAAAAGAAAAAAAAAAAAAAAAAAAAAAAAAAAAAAAGAAAAAAAGAAAAAAACATGAACACTATTGTAAACAACTTCCTACACTACAAATGAAGTCATTGGCTTTGGCAGGAACTGAATTACAAACTGTGTAAACCTTCCAGATAAAATTTCTGAAAATTATGCTACTATAAATGAGCAACATATGTAGCACTACAAAAGGTAAGCCTGGTTTAATCCATTTTACAGACTGTAGAACAAAAGTAACTGGAATAATTTAAAAGACCATTTCTGTAGTGCTAAAAAAATAATCAGCAAGTAGGTACTACTTGCCTATGTAAACTTCCAGTTAACTGAGTAACATAGTACAAACTTACAGCCAGGAAAAAGTCTGTCCAGTCCTTGTGACCAGACCCAGCAGGAGAGCAGTGTGACTGCTGTTATTTCTGAAGGGAATGCAGGTGTTTGCACCACACTTGGGAAGAGAGCCCATGTGACACTCACAAAGGACCGCAGTTCTGAGAGGACATTTGAAATCACTGCATTGGGGTCATCGCACTCCTGCGGCTGCTCGAAGGGATGCCCCGCTTTGCTGATCAGCCAAGCGGCGAGCGTGCAGAACATGAAGAACTGCTCACCGGGATTGGTGGGCAGCGCAAAGTAGTGCCTGTTTAAAAAGGGGACAAACGGGACGTATGGTGAGCTTCTGGAGCTCTTACAGCATTATAAGTAAGCACAGGCTATGGAGCAGTTTCTTTACCCTGTTTTGTCAATGAGCAACCAATCTGAACTAAATTCAGGATGCCTAGCTTCACACATGACCACAACAGACCACATTTTCTACACCCAGCTTGCTTCTTTCCAGTTTTGAGTAAGTTATTAGTCAACACCAGACTTGGCTGCCAGGTTCCCCAAATCACCTCCCCTTCACGCTTTCCTCAAGAGATGCAAGAGGATCGTATTTCCACATCTACAAATTCAGCTGAGATCAGGAGCATGTTTTGAAGTGATCCTTCTACTTACCTACTGTGCTTTGGAGAGCAATGAAAACTGGAACTGATTTGGATCACACCAAATTTAAATATTTGAACCTAACAAGAATTCAGTCCATAAAACCAGACCACAGGCAGTTATTCCCCCTAAAGCATAAATAACATGCACAATGGATACTAGGAAATTCTGGAAATGCTTCCTTTTACTGACACAGCTACTCACTAAGGTCCACAAAGGTTTGCTGCCCTGCTCCAAACATTCCAACGATTCAACAGCAGGCTAGAACCAAATTGCAGCCACTGTACTCACACTTAAGCCTCCTTCCCAAAAAGGGAATAACTTGGACTCCCTTACCAATTTAATTATTTATAAATTGTGGCTTATAAAAAGTTTAATTCTGTGACCCTTAATTCTACACCCTGCTGTGGAGCCTGGCTGAAATTTACGGATGGGTTTAAAAGTTATTTGGGTAGGTGATGTTGGGAGCACATTGGTCCCGTTTCCCAGATTTCCTGTCTCTCACCATAATATTAAGAAAAGACATAAAAAACAAATACGTACTGGATACCAAACCTCAGCCTTACCAACAACGGGTCCAAGACCCTCTTTGTAAAAGGTTAAAGGGTTAAAAAATACACACACCCCACGAATAGCTAGTCTGAATTCAAGACATGTAGTTATTTAGAATAACTTAGAATTTAGGCAGAGCTATTTTCTGCATAATAGGTGGAATTTAGGTAGAATTATTGTTTGCAGAGGTACCCTGGCATGCGGATATCCAGTACCTGCCGGGGGCAGGGAAGGTCAAGGGACTATTTACTTATCGCATCTCAGCCTTTCCCGAGGCCTCGCGTTTTGAAAGCTTCCGGCTCACACGGGAAACTTTGCAACTGGCTGTTTTTCCCTTGAGCCAGGCATCCTGCCCCGCCTTCCTTCGCTAGGCTCCGATGACAAGGAGAGATTCCTGCCCGCCGCCCCCGCCCGCGGCCACGCCAGCGCCCTCCCGCCGGGGCGAGGAGGAGGCGCGGGCCGGGAGCACCTGGAGAGAGGCCGCATGTTGTGGCGCCGCAGCGCCTCCTCCTCGTAGCTCAGCAGCTTCAGCTTGTCCAGCAGGTCCTCCATGAGCACGAACATGTGAAAAGCCGCGCCGGGACCGCGCTCCGCCGGCCCCTCCTCGCTCCGCTCCCGCTCCCCGCGCCGGCCCGGAGCGCCCTCTTCCGCCATCTTTACTCGTAACCACAGCGACAGGGGCGGGCCCGCACCGCCTCCGAGCGCTCGGGGCGGTGCCGGGGAGGCCTCACAGCCAACCCGCTCGGACCAAACTGCGCCTTTCAGCCCAGGAGCGGCTTCACGGGAGCTCGGCAGCTTTTAAACTTTTCTCCCTGCCCGAAGGCAAACTTGGGAGCGCCTCGCTCCGCGCAGGTGCGGAGTGGGCAGCGGTGCGGTGCTCTGCGGCCGGATGTGCGGGAGAGTGAGTCTCGGCAGCCGAGGGCCGCAGCGTTAGCCGCGGGTGCCGGCTGGAAGCGGCGGGCTGGGGAAGGCAACGGGTCGGAAAGCTCATCGGGAATGTGCTTGGCACTGGTGAGGCACCTCGAGTGCTGTGTCCAGCTCTGGACACCTCACTACCAGACACACTTTGAGGTGCTGGAGCGTGCCCAGGGGAGGGTACTGGAGCTGGTGAAGGGTGTGAAGTGCGGCTCCCATGAGGAGCCGCTCAGGAAAGACTTTACCACTTTTACAAGTCCCTGAAAAGAAGTTGTAGCCAGGTGGAGATCGGCCTGTTCTACCAGTTAACTAGTAACAGGAGGACATAGCCTCAAGCTGCACCAAAGGACGTTTAGATTGGATATTGGCAGGGATATCCTCACTGAGGTGGTTTTCAAGTATTGCAATGAACTGCCCAGGGACATCACCTGAAAAAGACATCCCTGAAAGTGTTCGAGAAACGACTGGACGTGTCACTTAATGCCATGGTTTAGTTGAGTTTATCAGTGAAAGGTTGGGCTCGATGATCTCGGAGGCCTTTTCCGACCAAAATAATTCTGTGAATGCAAGACACACCTCACCTGTGTATTCCTGGCATCAGGTCTTTGAGGGGAGACACGTATTCTTGCCACTTCTTCCTCCACTTTAGTTGGGGTTTTTTGTAAGCCCTCTTCCCGAAAATACCTGAGTTGTTCTGTTCTGCTGGAAACCAGATGGCACGCACAAGTCTTGAATTGTCCAGAGAGAAAAAGTCACTGTTAAAATATTGTTAGAAAATAATTACCTAACCCTGCAGGCAGCTCTAGGCACCTACTTCTTGTTTCAGGTGACCAACTTTTTGAGAAGAGTGTCATGATTACTTTTACCTTATGTTCTTGTTCTCCTGCCTGCAGAGAACTGACCTCGCTGCATGTGTCCGAGTGGCATCGTGGCTGCTGTATACATCATATTGCTGACTTATCTCCTCTGTTACAGCCTACAGGAGCTTTGGGTTTGCTAGGCAAAAGAAATGGTTAAGAGGAAAAGTTTTTTAAGCCCAAAGATGGGAACACAAAAGGTGTGAAATCTTCACGTGTGTTGAGTCTTAGTTCTCACTGTAGAAACAGCTGCTTCCCTTTAATAGGATGGACACGAACTTGTATGTTGGTTATTTGAGCCCTGTGCCATGCAGGTGGGGCGCTCAGAGTGCAGCTGGAGAGAGGCAAAGTTCAGCGGGGAGAGACCTTTAGATTGTGGAAACTTTCTTCCATTGCAAGTATTTCTCAACAACTGAAGTTAGCATTTAAGTTGTAAGGGTTTCACTGTGGGGAGGCAGAGAATTCCTCCTCTGTTTTACTACTTCCTGTTTTATTTACAGGAAATCCTCTGAAGGTTCAGTGAGGAAATTCTAGAAAGCTGGTATCATTTTGGCAGGTAGGAGATTTTAGCAGTGTGTGATTAACATGTGTTTTTGAGAATTTTACATGTTTGGGTTTTTTGTTTGCTTCTCGGTAAAAATTAAAATATTGTGGTATTTCCAAGTCCTCATAAATGTGTGTGTGTTGTTGTTGTTAAGTTGCATTGAAAATGAATTAATCAGAAGTACAAAGAAATAAATTTTATTTGAAAGAAGGTTATTTCAATATGCCTATCTTCTCTCAAAGAGGTTGCAGAGGAGAGTACATTGAGCAGCCACCAATCCTGATGGCTGTTTGCTGCAGGAGTGCTGTGATCAGGTTTCAGCCTGAATGCGAAGCTCAAAGATGAGGAAATATTTGGATACCCTTTGGTCACTGAGTAACAGAAGAAAAAGAAGGCATGTGTTCTTTTCCTGTAGTGGCCAAATGCTGCATTCTCCCTACCTTTATTTGAGCTATTCAGTATGTCTTTGGAGATGCATTTTAGCACCTTGCCTTGCTCTCAGAAACCGTGGCTGAGCTGCTTTCCAGTCAAGCCTGTGGTGATTCTGTATGAAATAATTCTCCTGAGAACTAGAGCATCAGTGACTAACATGGCTCCAGTGATCTTAATTCTAGTTGTGCACTGTCTGTATACATAATTTCATATTGATATTTCACTACAAAGCCTCGGGGCATGATTTCTTGGTTGTGCCGCTTACATCTGTGACAAACAGGAAAAGCATGTTTGTTCAGTACTTTGCAGTGTGACTCTAATTATCAGCATACACACTCTTTATTCCTGTAAAACCCCAGAACTGGCTGAAAAGACTGGCCAGAACCTACAGTCCTCACATTTTTCTACAGACCAGCATACATTTTTCTCTGATGGGAAGATCCAAAACTAAGGTTTGTGCTGAACATGAAAATTTTCAGCTAAGTAGTTGTAGCTGTGTATTTTGGAGCAGGGTTATGGGGCACAGCTGGAAGGTGGGAGGCAGTGTGCACTGTCCATGCAGCCCCCAAAGGCATCACAGAGGTACCACTGGAACCATGTTACTCGGAGCATCGCTGCCAATGAAAGGCGACTGTCAATTAAGCATGGCAGATCCCTCCCTGTATTTCTCTCAAGGGAAATACAGCACTGATTGCAGTTTCTGAAATTCAAACATCAGGCATGGTATATTGTGGTGATCAAGTTGGAAGTTGTAGGTAAACAAGCAAAAAATCCAATAAAACATGATGTACCCCACTTGACAATGTAAGGGCTAAAGAAGGTAGATCCTGGCAATGGTTGCTGACATAGAACAAAATTATATGTTTATTTTACCATTGCATCTAGTTCTGTCTCAGATTTAATGTTTTCATGCCTCTGTTCTTTTTTTGTTTTGTTCTGTTTTTTTCTCGTAAAAGAATAGTGAGAATACATAAAACAATCATAAAACTAGATTTTCAGAAGAAATAATACTCAAAAATCTTTGGGATTTAAGATTCACATCTACCACAGATACAGTCTCACACACCAGTCAAAATTATTCATAATACTAAAAGGTCTGGGTAGCAAGCCTGGCTAAATCTGTGTCCTGTGTAGAAATGGTACCTACAGCTGCCTTTTGGGGAGTAAAAAAGTACCAGGGAAAATCCCTTAAAGTCTTTTTAAGTTACTTGATTCATGAGGTAATTTTTCCGCTGGGGTATGCTGTATTTTAGGATAGTAAATTCTGCATTCTTCCTCCACTCAGGTAATAGTTACAGTAAGGTTATTCTTTTTCTGTTATGCATGACAGGTTGCAGTTCATTGCTGTCTGACAAAACAGAAGATATGATGAGAGAGTCTCCTCCTCCTTTGCATTCCTATCCTAGATTTCCATGCACACATTTTTGAAAGGGTAAAAAGTGTGAAAAGTTCTCTATGTTGGCAGTATTTGCAAATGCAGTCAAATTTCCCACCCCAGAAAGTCAAATGTTGCAGTAATCAGAAAAATATTTTAAGAAGTAAAGAAAATCAGGCTTGATGAGGGACATCTTACATCCTTTTACAAATTTTACTTGACCAGTTTTCCTTGGTGTCCTGTTCAGGAATGAAGAAGATTAATATTCCCTAGCCCTGCAACAACACTGAGAGTAAATACTTTCTATTTATTAAAAATAAAATATCAATCTGCAAGGGGCTACAAGGTAATGTAGAGGGCCTCCACCATTATGTAATGCATAGGATCATATAATGGATGAGTTTAAGGCCAAAAATGTGCACCAGGTCTGTTGCAAACAAGAAATGTGATACAAAGGCCTATTATCCTTAGCAAGCTGTAGAAAGGAAATTATGATATGGGCATGTCTTTGATATTCATTTATACAGGTCTTCTCCCCTGCTTTTATTTTGACAGTTTGACATGAATCTAAACCAATGAAGAAATGGAAGGACAAAACATACCAGCTATTATGATCTGTTTATTTCACATCGGTGCTACACTTTGGGGTAGGTTTTAGCTGAAAATTAATAAAGAAGACCATTATTACTAATTTTTATTCAGGAGAGTTAATGAATTCAAACACTGCTTATTAATGGTAAAGAATAAATTTTGGGTAATATAAAAGCCTTCTGGAGCAAAAGACTGCTTGTCAGGTGGCTGCATGGATGGCTGTGGCCATTGGGCACCTTGGCCCCCAGACTGTTACCTGCCAATATTTCTGCCCCATGGCTCAGCAGGCAGTGCTTTTCAGTTCAGAATTAAATTGGTTTGCAGAAAATTGGCTGACTTTGCATTGAGAAGGCTAAGGAAAAGTCATGTGTGTTGTTCTGCCAGGTGAGCTGGAGAGGGCATCAAAATGTCTGAGAAGGCAGCTGCCCCTGGGCACTTACTACCAGCACAACAGGTTGTCTGAGCTTGGCCAAGAAGGTCGACGTGATGATGCTATGTCAATGCAGTCAGTTCTTTAAAATATTAATTTTAAATTGCTCTTGTATGCCAGCAATGCCTAAGTTAAATGTTGAGGGAAATAAGATGCTGCCACTTGTGTGAATTTGTGGAATGCACACCTTAATCATCTCTTGGGGCTGGGACAGAGCTTCCTGATGGTGTCTGTGGTGGCAAAGCTGTTTCGAGAAGTTCTGTCCTTTCTGTCAGTTGCAGTGCCATGTCTTTTTTTCCTGTGATGGTACAACTGCTTGGCACTATGTGAGTTGGTAGTAACATGGGGCATTGCAGCAAGGCACTGTGAATGTTTGAACATGTAGGAAGCCACAGCTCAAAAGGCTTTTCAAGTCTAAGGTGGAAAAGATGTGGTTCAAGGTGTGGAAACAAGGTGTGAAGTTCAGATGGTAAGGTGGCAATGTGCTGATTTGAATATGTAGGTGCTTACTTGGGATTTCTACATGAACAGATTAGAAGTT